TAAGGTTTGGATGCAGCTGCTCGGACATTGAAACCCATTCCATGAAGCTCTCTACGTATTGTTTTTGAGCTAATTTGATGGTTACATGAAGATTAAGGGGCTATAGCAATTGACTGCAGAAATTTAATGACCTCTGTGCACTAAGCATCTGCTGAACCCACTCTGTGATTTTACATAGCCTACAATTTCACTGTTGAGTTGCTGTCATTTTCAGTTGCTTCCACTTTGTTATATTTAATCCCCTTTTGTATTTCCTATTCTGCCCTTCCATTCTTGTCTCTTTGTTATCTGATGTGTTTGTGTCAAGAGTTCAGTTTGACCCCCTTTGACAGATTTTGTTTACACAATAACAATCAGCTGTCTCAGGTCATTTAACATGGTTGCATTTCCTGAATCACGATCACGTCTACAAGGCTGACATCCAGTTATTTGAGCAGATCAGTTGCAGAACTATGTTACTGACACAAATGGGTGCCAATCCAGTCAGTGGGTTTCATTAAAGCTCTTTATTTTTGCTCAAAACATTGCATTTAGTATGGAATGGGGATTTTGTTTTCTCTCTCTGCAGCTCCATTTAAAGATGCTGATCAGCTCCAAGTGCTCTAAACTCGTGTTAATTATTGAGATAATATTGGGATAAATAAGCATGTTTATACATGTTTTCGTGTTTTAGAGTTTGAATTCAATCTAGGAGAATAAGACTTGAGGAGGAGGAAAAGAGTGGCATTTTAAGATTGTCTCCTTCTTTCCTGTCTTAGACACATTTTAGAAATGCAATTAATATCAACTGTTTGGAAAGTATTTTCTATTGAAGAGTATTTTGTACTTACATGCTTTTTCCCTTCACTATTTCAGCAGCGGTTTCACCTGACTCAGCTTAAAATCTATAAATCAGCTCCAGACTGTGCAGCCAGCAGACCAAGTGACAAGTGAGCACATTGTGCTAGTTTAATCCTTTTCCCGTAGTCTCCCATGATTTCAAATCCTTTAAAATTTGTCTTTTAAATCCTTATAGCATCTCCAATAATTACACATATCTTATTCATGTATAAGCCAGATATTCACGTCTTTATTTCACCTGGGAAGAAGCTAGTCTTATTGCTCATTCTTGAAGTGTACATAACTATTGCAGTGCACCTTTGCATGTGTTACCCCACACCTCTACACAGCAATTTAAATATAGCAATATAAGAGAACAATAAAGTGTATGAAGTGATTTATGATTGAGCAGAAGCTTTGTTTTCTTCAGGACTTTGATGGTTTTTTTGAGTGTACATATTTTTCTGAGGTTTCCATATATCATAATTTGAGTTTTTCTTAAAAAGTGACCATTTGTTTTTTTCAGACCATCTTTTTAGTTTTGTCATTTCTTGTTTCGTGACCTGCAAAAGCTGTTGCAAATTCTCTCCATGACAAAGAATATATGTATCATCCGCAAATAAAAATGAACTTCGACATATCTGCTGCTCTGCATATATCATTTGCATATAAGATGAAGAGTCTGAATGTTGAGGAGTCCCTGCTCTCTAAATGCTTTTCACCCAGTCTAGCGCCACCCCTCTAATATGAGGTCTTTCCTTTGTATCATTTAACATCTTGTCATCAAATGTGTCAGAGGTTGTTTTCAAGTTAAAAACTCCTGCTGCTTACTTTGTTTCATTGACACAATTTGTAACTTCTTTAAATAATTCAGTTAATGCCATGGATGTTGATCTGTTTGATCTAAATCCGAAAAATCCTGGTAATATTTTGTTTAGTTATAAATGTATACAGTCTATTAAGTATTTTTGAATAATTGTGGGAGTAGAGAAATGGGTCTGTAATTTGTGAGCAACAACATATATGTGCTGTTACTGAATATTTACTTATTACCTATGACTTATCAAAGTTTTGACTCTCACAGGCTGCCAGAGATTCCTGCAGGCTTTCGTGCCCTCCACCAGTATGGCCTTGAGAGGTGCAGGTGCTATTAGTCTTCCATCATCCTCACGCCAAAAATAAGAAAAATCTCAGTCATTTCTCAGTGAACAGAACATACATAGACTGAAACATACACATATTGAAAGCCAGAATGTGTGTCTCTGGCATTGGAGCTGAATGCTTTTTATGTCCAGCATCCACACCAACTAGCTGACTCTGATGCAGTTCATCAATACAGGATTTAATTCATTTTAAAAGTTGAATTAACATTGCAAAAACAATTTAGCTACACAGAAATGTAACTTATGTAAAAGAAAAGCAATATTATGGACAATGGAAAATCCTATAATCTATGATTATATACTTCACATACTGTATATTAGAAAACAAGAGGGAAAGAAAATACATTGTTTTAGCCCTCCGAGTGTTAGCAAGGGATACAAACTGTGTTTATTGGAGAATTGTTCAATATCAACATTTCTCAGCAAACTATGCATGTCTTTATAAAACTATTTAAACTAATTCAGCACTCGCAGACCCTCTAACTCTAAAATAGAAACTGAATTTGATTTGGATTCCAAAATTGACCGACATAGATGGAAGTGAGGCAGAAAATAAATTACCAAACTGGAGAAACTTTAAAAAAGTTTGTTTGCAGCTAAAATTACACAGTTTTTTGTTTTGTCTATATCATGTTAGTATACATGCAGTCACTTTTTAATATCTATAACACTTTAAGACACAAACTCAAATGGTAATTGTGTGTATAACACTGTTGTTCATGTGTTAAAAACTGAGAAAGACCTAACAATGTAACAATGTAATGTATGAATAATATTCTTAAGTTCAGCTAAGGAAACCCTGTGTCGCAAAATGTTTGATGCATGTGAGTCAAACCCCAGAGACGAATCCAATATTACTCTGATTTTGAATGCTTGATGTAGCAGTTGAAGAAAAAGAAGCCAGTCCCTGACTGATTTTAGGATATAGTTCAGTCTTACTGGCGTTTAAAACAAGGAGTCTCTTGAGCAAATGCAGTTTTCTCTGTCCTTTCTTAAAGTTCTCTCACATTATATGACCAGTTCAGCTTATTATTAAAAGAACCCCAGGTACTTCTCAGAATTCATCTCAGTGTCTCTTCACTGGATGTTCTCTGGTAAAGGAGAAGGTTTGTACCTGCAGCAGTCGTCCACCAACTTTTGCCAGCACTGATCTGGAGATGGTACTTCTGGCACCAGTTCACAAACTCTGTTTCAGTACTGAAAGCAAAGAGAATACAGGTAAACACAATGCAGTTTCTAAAAAAAGTGAGTGCCCCCTAAACTTAGTAACTGGTTGGACCACCTTTAGCAGTAACAACTACAATCAGGCATTTGTGATGACTGGCAATGAGTGTTTTACAGTGCTGTGGAAGAATTTTGGCCCACTCATGCAGCCATATTCAAGGGTTTTTGAGCATGAACCAGCTTTTTAAGGTCATGCCACAGCATCTCAATCTGATTCAGGTCAGGAGTTTTACTAGACTTGAAAGTCTTCATTTTGCTTTTCTTAAGTCATTGAGAGGTGTATTTCTGGTGTATTTTGGATCATTTGGATCAGAGGCCAAGTACGCTTCAGCTTGAGGTCACAAGCAGATGGCTGGACATTCTCCTTCAGGATGTTTTGGCAGACAGCAGACTGCTGTTACCCTTATGCCAGATGTAATGACACACACGCCTTCCAAAAAGCTCAACTTTGTCTCGTCAGTCAGTTTTTTCCCAAAATCTTAAGGAACATCAAGATTTTTTTCAGCAAACCTAAGATTTACATTTCTGTTCCTTTTACTCAGCAATGGTTTTTGTATTGCAACTATGCCACGCAGGCCATTTTTTTCCCAGTCTCTTTCTTATGGTGGAGTCATGAACAATAACCTTAACTGAGGCAAGTGAGGCCTGCAGTTCTTTGGATGTTATTCGGAGGTCTTTGTGACTTCTTTGGTTAATTTTGGTCAGCCAGCCAATCCTGGGAAGGTTCACCACTGTTCCATGTTTTTGCCATTTGTGAATAATGACTCTCGCTGTGGTTCACTGGAGTCCTGCAACTTTAGAAATAGCTTTATAACCTTTTCCAGACTCAGAGATGTCACTTACTTTGGTTCTCATTTCTTCCTAAATTTCCTTGGATTGCAGCATGATGTCTGACTTGCAGGTTCTATTTAAGTTTAAGATTTATGATTGAGAGTAGGTGTGCCAGTAATCAGGCCTGGGTGTTGCTAGAGAAATTGAATTCAGATTTCCAAAGATGGGATACGCCAGTTAATTTATGCTAAAATTATGGGTGTTGGGGTGGGGGGTCACTTTTCCACACAGGGCCATGTAGGTTTGGATTTTTTTCCCCTGCTACTACTTTTAGAAACTGCATTTTATGTTTACTTGTGTTATATTTCTCTAATATTTAAATTGTTTTGATGATCTGAAACATTTAAGTACATACAAAAAATGTGAAATCAAGTGAGCAAACACTTTTATTATCACTGCATTTGTTCATTCAGACATAAAATGTTTTATGTATTTAGTGTTGAAACGAGGCAACTCATCCATGGTGCTAACTTCTGTCTCCAAACCACTCAACATGAGTGGCTTGAGTTGTTTACAAAGTTATAGGGGCATGACAGCAATGGTTTGGACATGTACAGAGGAGGTATAGTGAATAGCAGCTCCATATTCAGCATACAAAAGATGCTGAATATGGAGCTGCTAGTCAGGAGAAAAAGAGGTAGACTGCAGATATGAACGATGATGTAGTGAAGGGGGACATACAGAAGGCTGGTGTGCCAGATGAGGATGCAGGAGATGGAAGACAGAGGAGATGAAAGCAGGTGATTTGCTGTGGCGACCCCTAAAGGAAGCAACCAAAAGTGGAAGAAGATGGGACACAAACTCACTTTGTTTTATTACCTCCATCCAACAGAGGGCGCTCGTGTACAACAGGTGAGTGTCATCATCTTCACCTCGCAGCCTCTGTCCCAGCTGCTCGGCAACTTCAGCTGGAGTTTAGTGATGGTCACATGACGTTGTTATGGGTATATTACCCCAAAATGTCACAGTTTGCGCTCCACTACAGAGCTGCTGCCTGTCTCCGCAGCACTGACAGGCTGTGCATGTCCCTGTACTATTAGAAACTTTACCGATTACTTTTTGTTTTGTAGTTTTCATTATTTTTTTGAGAGCTGAGCCACTGAAAAAAGGAAGCGAGAGCGTCAGGACGCAGAATTTTGAGGGCAATTATGAAAAACGCGGAGCAGTGAATTTTATTTCCCGTTGACAGCTGAAAAGGTGAGACAGGAGGACTCGTGCTGCTTCTCTCCTTCAGGATGTCGCACAGGCTTAGCATTATCTGAGAAAATATGTAACGAATTTTGACTTAAATATGCATCTGTCTGGTCTGTCATTCATTTGAAAAAGGGTATCATGCAATGTGTACACACAGAGGATCCCTAGTATAAATCACATAAGTAGGCTCTCGGGAAATCTGCGTAAGAGTAACAGATTTACCAAGGCTTGGTAAGTTAATTAGTGCGTTCATAGGTTAATGATGTTTGTCCCTCATCTGTAAAACCACCAACTGGGCTGTTTCGACCTTTGTAGAGTTGCTGATTTATTGACATGTGTTCCACTTTTATTGCTATTAGACTATTAAGCTGAATTGCTGCATACAATTTATTGGCGCTCAGCGCTACACAAGGACAGGAAACCCACACTTAATGGAACTCATCCTCAGAAAATTGTTGCTTTGTGTTTCCGCGGTCATGGATGAAGTATCTCTGCTAATTAACCGAGAAAAATGGGTTAATGTTGCACACGGATGATTGAACAATGGCGTGGAGTGTTTGCCTTACTGTGACGCTTTCAAGGGATCCAAGCTCAGATTTTATGGAACAAACTGAGCTGTGAGCTTTTGTTTTGATCACAGGGATTGTTTTTGATTGTAGGGATTATTTATTGCGTATTGAAAAGCAGTTTGACATTGGGTGTTATGTAATGTTTTGAAAATATATATTTATTCCAATTACACATGCACTCATTCATCTCTGTCGATGTACTTAGACTGTCAGGAGAGACCACACGCGTCGTGTCCCTCTGACCTCGCAGATGATCAGATTCTCTGCTGAGGGCAAATCTCACAGAGCGACAGTGCATGACAAGATAATTGCTTCCTCTTATGCTACTAGAATTGAGAGTGGTCCGCCTGCTGTGCTGAGTGAATTCCCATTCACTCTTTGTGCATTCATCTTCAGTGAAGTTGACCAGAGCAGATATTATAAGAGACACACAGAGAATCCTGGATTGAAATCTATGGAAAATCAGCAAAAATAAGAAATATAAATTCCACGGGTTCAAGTCAGTAAATGCTTTAAGTGGTGCTTATCATGTTATTTGAATGGTGATTCAATACAAATCACAAAACACTTGAAAAAAGGTAATTAATTAAACAGTAAAGATAATTTATGTGTTGTTTCAAAATAAATGTCCAAATAAATCCCCTGGCTGTTGCGGAGACAGTCATGATGGCAAGGTAACTAGATTTGTTTCTATTGCTTTTTTCAGATCCAACAATTTGCTATTAACAGCAAAGCTTTTCATTTTCTTTTCATTCAAACTGTGGCCAGTAGGCATGTAATTAGTGGTCTCTTTACATTTTGTTGCCAGGTGCATTATAGACCAAGAGCCAAAATACAATATAGACATACTATAGTGATTATGACAAAACAAATGTGCTTTGGAATCTGCCCTGCAACCAATCACTTAAGCAGCTACTGGTCACTGTTATGACACTACAAAGACATTTTTTTTTTTGTATTGGTTGAAAGAACTTGCTGGATTTGAGAATTTTTTTTTAATGCAAAAGTGCTTGTCTAAAGTGGATTTACAAGATCTTTGTAGTTCAAAATGAAAAGCAGTATGATTATCCTGTGGGAGCTAACATCTTTTCCCCCAATATATATCTACTTAAATGTAAGATGACTCCCAAAACAAGCCTTTTCACTCATAATTGTGGATGGTGTTAGGAGGATCAAGTCTGTGTATTGACTAGATATGCCCCTGATCCCAATCTCATGGAGCAACAACATGGCATGACCTGGTTACTACTTGAATTTTCTCCTTTTGGGTTAGATCTGAGCCCTGCCTCAGCAGAATGTGCAACAGGAAGTAGACAGGATACCAATGTGCTTTGCTACTGTATTAATTTGCCAACAAGTACAAGATGTCCACTGTTCTCACATGGACATCAGACATCAAACAGACTTTGCAATTTGGAGCTAACAACAGGAGGGCCGTGACAACGGCCATTTTTGACGTTAGGAAATTCTCACATAAATCTCTATTTAGGATTCTTTGATTGCTGTTTCTCTGCTCTAATTTCTCTGTAATTACCTTGTATGTGTACCACAGAACTCTGAAAATTTGTCTTTTATATTACTATAATACACAAAATCTTTGTTGGTTTGCCTATACAAGAATGTCAGGAATCAACCAATCAAAACTGGCAAACAAGCATGTTTTAGGCCACTGAAGGTTCTCATCTATATCAGATATGATATCATCACACTTTCTAGCAACCACCTATAAATGAACACCTTATGAAAGCATTGTAGTCTTTGAATTTCACAACACTAACATCTAATTTGTATCCACTGCAACGTGCAGGTTTATATTATAGCATCGTTTTGTTGCCTAGCAACCGCATAATCAGCGATTAAAACACACACAGTAAACAAAACTGTAGTATGGGCATGTGTGTAGCTATCTCATTCATTTCATGCTTAAAATTCTCTAATATTCATGTGGTGTTTATTTTAATTAATTTTTTATGATCAAATCCAGAAAAAACAAAGGTCTGTAGTTGCAGAGCTGGAGAGGTAAAACACTAACTGCTTGGCTTTCCCACCATCCTCTGTTGGCACTGAGCGATTAAAAGTGTTATATCCCACCAGACGCAGTGTAATTAGAAGATAACTCTCCCCACACGCACAAACACATGTATGGGAGTGTGGAGTTTTTAGTGGAGTCACCTAGCAACCCTAATGGCTTCTGCCTAGTCTTAGTCTAAATGTCAACCTGACCCCCTATCCTATCTTTAATGAGAGACTTGACTGAACACTTTTTAATGACTTTCTCAAATACTCACAGATCTGCCACTAGGGTTTGTGGAAGTTTAAAACCCACGACTCCGTACTACAGCAGATTTCATTTTATCCCTCCGAGGTGTCTGACATAACCTCTCTATCCCTGTCTTATTTGTCCTGTGTTTCCTTTTATATTATTCATATTTGGTTTGCCTTATGCATACTGTGGGAAACCCTGCCCAAGCTAGAAAAGTAAACATGCTCGACGTAAAGTAAACAGTCTGGTGAACGAGTTCATGCTATTAGAACCTAAACATGCATGCTAATAAGTTCCTCGTTTTATTTAAGTCCTTAGGACTTAAATAAAATGTAAACCTCTGTGTGCTTTTATTAAAACTGAGTTACACAAGAGGTGATGTAACTCAGCTGCTTGATGACACTGTCAACCTGGTGCTCAAGGTGGGATTACTGCTTCCAAGAGAAGGATCTACTGGAATCCATAAATAAATCTGTTAAAATGCTCTGCATTCCTCACCTTGGGTATTTGAGAGAAAATAGAAAGTCAAACAAAATGCAGTAATGAATTTTGCTAATATAATTTTTTACATTTCACAGTGTTAGAATTTTTTTCTTCGCATTTTCTTCTTTTTTTCCACCAATATATTTGGAAATATTGAGCAGTCTGTCGGATTCTAGTTGTTCATTAGCTCAAAGATACACTTGAGCTAATGATTAATTAAATCATTTATTTTTAATGTTATCATAAGTTATTACTCTTCAAATTATTGCTGGAATCTCAAATTAGAAATGGTAGTGTTCATATGATGCTAAACTGGCTGTAATCCCCAGCTTAGTTACTGGTAATTAAGTCATGTTTTCAATCAAGGGTTAAATTGGAATTACAACATGGATCCTTCTCATTCCAAGTACTTGTGTTTACCTAGGTGTCTGGAAAAAATGCGTAATTAAACAGTGATTATTTACTGGTTACAGTATTAACATGTAAGTGAAAACTTAATTGTCTAATACAATCAAACACAGTACATTCCCATGTTTAAAACTTGCGTTGTCACATGTTTAAAGATATGAAAACAGCATATGTGTAAACTGGAAATCTCTCAACAGTAGTATCCCATCTAACCAAAAATCCAACATCCAGAAAGTACAGAGCAAAAACTGCTTTTTATTTTTGTGGGCAAAATTTCTTATTCTGCTGCCACTGCAGACTCAATATATTTCAGAAAGTGGTTGTTAATTAGATACACTGTTCATCAGATAATTTATAAAATTGAGTATGGCTACCAGCTCTATATTTACTCACTTACCATTTCCACTTGGGCTGACATTCAAATACTCCACCATGTTTTGGAAAACTGGCACAGAAGTTAAACCAAATTGCTTGAGAAGCAGAAGCCACTTCCACACACTGCTCACTGCCAGTTGGTATGAAAGGTGAATAACTCCTTTTCTCATGGCCTATGACTGACCTTTCATAATGTTTTATGTGTTTTCATTCATACCTTTTCTAAATGTTGCTTTCTAAAAGCAAAAAGACTAATGTAATTGGGCTGAAACATGACTTCTCTCCATCTCTGCTGGCTGAGGAAACAAATCGCATAACACTGGCTTAAAGACTGCCATATCATAAGCGTTTCCTTCTGTTTAGCTTGGAAATGTGTGTTTATTGTTGTTTATAGCTGATCAGCGCTCCCACAGCTGCTCTACCTCATTCGCAGTAATAGAAGGCAGTAGCTCACACTTACTTTTTAAGGACCACCTGTACTTGTGAGATGCTGACAGTGTGGACTGTGTAGAAAGAAAGATGGAAGTTAAAGTCAGATTGTGGAAATCTATGGGGGGAAAAATGTCGACTCCTTTGATTCATGCCCTCAGTAGACAGTTTGCTGTTTACTTGTAGTCAAAAGGTATGATAACGAATGGTCTGGTTTTGTGCATGCCTACCTTGTGATTGACAAATCAATCCTGTATGAGCATGGCTCTTTTAGTTTCCTACTAGCAGAAATGCATTCTGGTTTCAACACACAAAGGTGGCAACAGAAAAAGCTTCCCACTGGGACTTCAATAACCAAAAGGTGACTCTAAGGTGGCTGTGCCCATATTTTGCGTATAGACAGTGGTTGACAGTCACTGAAAAAGTACATTCAATAACTGCAACCATTGTAGTCACAATGTAAGTAGGGAAAACTATACATTTAATCTTCAGTTAACATCACATGCTGTTTTTAGGATGAAGAAGCTGTGTCTCTGCTTGAACATTGTATAACAGCATGGTTTCTGAGCAGATCATTTTAAATATTAGCATTTGAGGCTAACCAAAATAAAATACTGAAATGTAGCTAATATACAGGAAGCGGACTGATCCAGATTTTGGTTTCCATGTGCGTGTAAACTCACTCAACATTAGATTAAACTTTCAAATATTTATTTTGGTTTTAGAGAGATTACAATCCTAAAATAAGCATATGTATTTTCTCTGTTCTCTCAGGAGGAGATGGAGAACAAGGCCATGTATCTGAGCACAAATGAAGAGAGAGAGAACGTCTCGATTTATGAAGAGGCCTATGATGGACACAACTTGTCCAAACTCAACCTGTGTGATGAAGGTAGGAGGAATAACTGAGCTGTGAAAGTGCTGAGTTGAACTCAAGGCTTGCTGCTTTAGTTCTTTTAACTAAAATGCAGGCTTTTTCCAAAGGAACAACCTCGATTTAACCTCCCAGCGCACCCACTGCATGTCCTGCTGCAATAAGTAGGTGATCACAGATGTTTGTAGTGAAGGGTGTTCTCTAATGACAAGGGCAGCTCTGAAAACTTACCGGAAAAAGCAGGAAACAAAATGGAAAAATAACTGATTTTCAGGATCTTTTATTCATATATATACAAAAGCCACCCACACGCTGATAACAAAGACCGCATCTGTCAAGTGCGCTAACACACAGGCACAATGCTGTCACCCTTTGGCTCTCACGCTGCTCTCACTGTGGTCATCTATAGAAGCCAGAAATATCCAGGAGCAACATCTGTATATGTGTGTAAATGCAGGTGCAGCTGAATGAATCCGCAGTTGACCCTGTGGTGGTCTCAGGTTTCAGTGCAGGAACGGCCAGTTTGTTGGGAAAGACTTATTAAATGTTAACTTAAGAATTTGTTGACATTTTAATGGAAAGTGGACAATGGCCGTACAGATCAGAAACTGTCCTCGTCCACTTTTACTAATCCAAGAACACTTTCACACCTCATTCAATTAAAGAGAGCATTTCTACCAAACAGTTTTAAAGCACAAGACTCTGACAGAATTTTAAAAACAGAGGTTAAATTAACCAGGCAGATTGCCCAAAACTCTAGTTTCTCAAATGACAGCTTGAGACTAACTGCTACACACTTACATGTTAAGATGCCAAACTTTTACTGAAACATGCTCTTTGGCTGCTACTCTTCATCTTTGTGACAACTGAACAGGGGGTGATTTGTTTATAACACACCTATTTAAGTTTGAAGTTTGGCTTACAGTTAACATTAGTGAGGTGTTGTTACTTTAAGTAGTGAAAACCAAAACGGGCAGTTACAGTTGTTAGCTGTGTGGTAAGCTTCACCTCAGCTTATTTATTTAAGTCACACAGACCTAGAGATGGTTTGGTGGCTCCTGGCAACAACCTGTGACTAGGGGAAAAATGTGTATTTCCTAACTGGCTAGCGAGTGGTTGCTGTAGGTTGCTGGCTGACTCCAGATAAAATTAGTCACAAAAGCTATACAGTCTTTTGGCTTCTCTCTTTAGGGGTCACCACAGCAGATCTGCCTCCACCTCACATTATTTAAAATATCCTCCTCTGTCACAATAAACATTTTCCTTTTCCTTTACATTTCTGTTAAAACTACATTCATGAACTCTGTGGTCTTCCTCTTTTTCTCCTCCCCTCCCATGACATATTTTGTTTGGGATACCCACCATCCCCGCTCTGTACATGTCCAAATCATTGTCAGCATTGTCTCTCTCTCTTGATCTGAGCTAATCTCGTCCCTCATGCTCACTCCCATGCTCACTCCCAACTAGCAGATTGCTGCAATAACCCGTAGTTAGACACTGACTGGTCTGCAAACACTTGCCAACTGCTCACTAAGTGCTAACAAAACTGTGAAGAGCGTGAAGCCACTCAGAAACAGGGAATGTTCACTTGCATTTAACATATATCAAAAGTTACATCCTCTTTGTGACCAATTTCACCCACTGACAACAACCTCCAGCAGCCATGGAAAGGCAAGTGGTTGCTGGAGGTTGGTGATTGCCAGAGATACACTAACCTCTATCCCTGTGTGACTGAAGCCTTACAAAGCTGGATAGAATGTACTCATGTTTATTGTGACAGAGGAGGATATTTTAGATAATGTGAGGTGGAGGCAGATGATCTGTTGTGGTGACCCCTAAAGAGAGAAGGCAAAAGAAGAAAACAAACGTGTAGCTTTTGTGACTGATTTTATCTGGATTCAGCCAGTAACCTACAGCAACCACTCGCCAACCACTCAGGAAATACACATTTTTCCCAATTTTTCTCTGTGGAAGGCATTTGAAACATTTGTTAATGTAGTTATGTGATAAATAATATATCTTGTTCTATCATTAATTCCACTAACAGCAGAGCTGATTCTATCCTGTCCTCCAACCCATGGGTCAAGGTGTTCCTGGATTATCAATATCTGTGATAATTATCGGGGCACAGAATGCCAGAGCTTCCTCAAACATAACTTATTTATTTCCTATCAATTGTTTAATTTCTATTAATTACCTTGGTCATATCACACTGTGTTGGTTTTTTTAATAGTCACAAATAGTCACTTGTAGCACATAAACTATTGGTTTTAAAGGGACCATAATGATAACGTGGAGATAACGCTGTAGGTTATCGCCACAGGCTAAAGATGGAAAAGTCATCAGCATCACTAATGGAGCAAATTTTGCTGACTGACTGGCCAGGTTACATCCACAGATGACTGGTGTACTGGACAAGAATTTGAGGCTAAATTATGCTCTGTTTATTTGCTGTTTATGTATCAGAATAACTATTTACTACATTTTTATACTTTTGAGAGATATTTCCAGATCACAAAGGTAAGATAACAGAGGCGGCAAGTATTGGAAAGTCTGAGTGCTCTTAATTATGTCATAGTTTGGCTGTTTTTGTGCACAGCTGGGATTCTTGGTTTGTGTCTTTGGCCGGCCTTATCTGTGGTTTGTCATATATAAGAGAAGCCAGTGTGTCACTGCTTCCCCAGTTAATCAACAACATCATCGTCAGAAAGCTGAGATGCTGGGGTAAAGTGAAGATTACTAGGGCTTTAATCACTAAGAGCACCGTAAGCACAAGCTAGCAGGGCAGTGAGGAGGGGACACATCAGGCTCGAGACCAGAATAAAGCAACTGAGCCTAGCGCGAGCACACCCTAAAACTGGATTTTTTTTTTAAACAGCACAAGATCTAACAGCAAATTCTCTACAAAAAATGCATAATGCAAATATGATTTACAGAGAAGAGTCAAAGTTAACACAGTTTACCCAAGCAAATGGAACATGCTAATTTTAAATGATGTTGTCATTCATTGAGGGAAAAGGTTATCCAAAGCTACCTGGCTCTTTGTGAAAAAAGTGTTCGCCTAGAGGGAAATAGCAAAGACCCAGCAAGAACCACAGTCAAGCAGGAATAACTGGAAATGCATCTTTTCACATAGCCGTTTTGGCCCACTCTTTTACGCAGAATTGTTTTAATGAGTCCAGCGTTATTGGAAGGTTTTCAAGGATGAACGACCTGTTTAAGGTTATACCAAAAAGCATCTCAACCTGGACTTTGACTAAGCCACTCCAGAACTGTCGTTTTGTTTTTTAGAGCCATTTGTTTTATTATTGTTGAATCGTGAACCTTAACTGAGGCAAGTGAGGCCTGCGATTCTTTAGATGTCGTTCTGCTTTTTTTGGGACGTCCTAGATGGGTTGTCGATGTGGTCTTCGGGTAATTTTGGCAGGCCCGTCACTCCTTGGACGATTTGACACTGTTAGAAGTTTTCTCCCTGTGTATAATGGCTCTCACCAATGTTTCACTGAAGTCCCAAAGCCTTGGAAATGGCTTTGCAATCATTTCCAGACCGATAAATGTCAGTGATTTTGTTTCTCAGCTGCTTCTTTAGATGTTTCTTTAGATGATGTGATGCTTTTTGAGGTCTTAGCCTGCCTCATTTCATCAGACAGGATCTATTTCACTGATGTTTTGATTCAACAGCTCTGCCAGTAATCAGGCCTGGGTGCAGCCAGTGAAATTGAGCTTAGCTTTCCAAAATTGTGGTTAATTGTTTAATTCATGATTCAACAATGAGGGCAAACCCTTTTTCACAGCACTGTAGCTGCATTTTCTTTTCAAAATTTGCTCATAATCTATAAGCACAACCTAATCTACTTTTATCCAGTCATAGAACGGTTATAACACCTCCACCAGATCGACTCAGGAGACATTATGTATTTGTGTTGGAGAGTCTCTTTTATTTTGGAAAAAAATCCTTGCTTGGTGGTCTTATAATTTAAAGTGTCATTAAGTCCCCCCCCCCCACAGTCTCATGGATGATTAGGAATTATAATAGCACGCTATTATTAATTTGACGTTCACATGTTAATGGTTAAACGTGCAAGCTTAGAATGGGGTCTTTAAAAAAAATCACCTGTCAATTACAGAGACCTACAGAGTGCCAAGTGTTTATGGAATCTGTTATACTTGCCAGACAGCATGTGTATTTGATCTGGAAAGTTACATTTAAAAGAACAGCAAAATTCAGCCATTTTACCCAAGCGCGTGTACATACCCAGACTCACACTAACTCAGCTGGAAACAAACAGATTCTGTAGATTTGTCAAAATCAGTAGGATTTTTTTGTTGCTTCTCCAAGTTTACTAATAAAGGAAAGCTCAAAGTTTGCTAATTCCAGTCTAATCTGTTTATTAAACAGTGCTGTATGCTAACAACATATCGCCAAAGACACGTGAATCAAAAACATAAAACAGGACGATAATATAATTTCCAAATGAGTCGAGTTACTTACTGACTGGCTTCCTTTGCTCTCAGATGTCAGTTGAAAAAGAAACACTCTTAGTTAAAGTCACCAACTCAGGCTTAGATAGTATTCTTTTTTTATAAAACAGCCAGTGCAATGTTATCATGCTGAAGAAAATCACAAATGTAGGAGTTTTTAAAAGACAGTGTGGTAAATAAGCTTAGCTGTCTTTTTTTGGTCTCCACCACCTGTGCTTACAGTAGCCTGTGAAGCTTGTGAAAGGGGGCAACTAGTCTAGCTTAGTATAAAGACTGAGGGAAAAAAATCTGGCTGTCCAAAGTTTAATTATATGCCTCCTACTACCTCTAAACTGTTTATTTAAGTCATACAAGCCCAGTTAAAGGAGTTACAACTCATTTCTTGTGGGGAAAAAACCGTCACATATTCAATTTCCAGTGTTTATGCTAAGTTAATCACCTCTCTCGCTCCATACTTGCATAATATACAAACATACACACATGTATGCCATGGAAATGATTTTCTCATCTCGTATACATCCCAAACTGTTAAAGGTCCAGTAACGCATGTCTCACAGTCACGCTGAAATGTTTGATAATGTTTCCCTCGTGATACATGTTGTTATGAAAATGTTTGCTGAGATTAAAGAGCGTTACGTGTCATTGTTTGCAGTTTAGTATTCCAACATCACTTAAAGAGGCAGACTGGCTTAGAGGACCATTTTGGTTTCTATACATTCCAACTATGTGACACGTACATACATCTAAGCCAGCTGTGTTTGTCTAATGCTTGAGGTGTGTGTGT